GTGCTGGTCGTGGTGGTCGTGCCGGTCGTGGTGGTCGTGGTGGTCGTGGTATTCGTTGTATTTGTTGTATTCGTGGTATTATTCGTGGCATTCATCGCGGTCGTGGTGGTTGTGGTGGTGGTGGTGGTGCTGGTGGTGGTGGTGGTGGTCGTAGCGGTCGTGGCGGTCGTGGTACTCCTGGTGTTCGTGATTATTGTTGGTGGTCGTGGGGCTGGTCGTGGTGGTGCTGCAACAACAACAACGACGACGACCAGAGTGATGATGATGATGATGGTGATGATGGTGATGATGATGGTGATTATGATGATGATGATGGTGATGATGGTGATGATGATGATGATGATGACGATGATGATGATGATGATGAAGAACCACAACAATTCAGGAGCATCAAGCCCGCCTGCATAGAGGAATTCCTTGCCCCCAGAGTCGTCTGAAACTGAGCGTGGAGTGGATCTGTCTGATTGTACAGCTTTTGGGCATTCGCCCGAACGATGGGAATCAATTTCGTGGGATCCCCAGAGCTTCCCGCGTGAGTGCACGACGTTGAGCCACTGCTGCACGTGCCAATCTTCCTTACATCATTGCTTGGAGGTTCATGGGTAGCTATAAGTAGGGTTATAAGTAAGGTGACAAAAGTTATAAGCTATATTAGGGGACTTATAGCTCCACTTATAACTACCCATGAACCTCCAAGTAGCTTCCGGATAAATGAATGCCAACACTTGGGCTTCAGCTGGTTTTTAAGGTCTAGGTGAACTCAAGTCGCAACAAAAGAAACTCTTTTCCTTACATCTTTAGCTTCCGGACAAATTGTCATGGCAACACTTGGGCTTAAGCTAGGGTTTAAGGTCTAGGTGAACTCAAGGCTCGAAGAAAACAAATCGGCTTCTTGACAAAAACGTTACCTGCTGGGCTACCACGTTTCTGAAAGCTGCAGAGAGGGTCTGCCAGTCCTGCGTACATCTTGAGGACTGCCCTAATCGCAGTCAGCTCCTCCATCAGCTTCTGGATGCCTTGCCACGCCAGATATGCGATGGTCACCGCTTCAAGAACGATGCCGTTCTCTGACGTAGGGACGAGAGCATAGTTCGGAGTGTAGCGCGCACTCAGCACCCAGGGGAACTTGTGGACAGAATCCACCCATGCATCATACGTAGCTGTGGAATTTGCGTTGCACTTGCCGTTCCCACCGTTGCAAACCACCTGCCTCACGACAGCCCGCAGAATAAACCCTATCCAGCAGCTGAAACTCTAGATTCAAACTCCACAACCCCATGCTCTACACTTTCATCTCCTGTTCCCTCTTCCTGAACACCAACTCTTGGCAGTAACCAACCTAAACCCTACACCCTAAACCCTAAACCCTACTTTTCCCAACCCCTGAAGCTTCGAATCCGACGTTAGCTGGCCTCTCCTGCAAAAACATCCGGAGAACCCTCTAAACAAACATCAAGCCTTTGGGACAAGCCCTTAAGGTTCAGGGTTTAGGGTTTTGGGCTAAATCTGTAGTTAGTAACCCTTGGGACAAGCCCTTCACAACTTCTTTCAAAGACCCGATGTAAAAACTAGAAAGGATACAACATGTTGTAGAGACAGCCACAAACATCAGAGAGCTTCACAAAAGAGACCAACCTCCAAAATCAACCCCTAAACCCTAAACCTCAAAAGTCTCCAAAAGCCCAGCCTCAGGGAGAGTGACTGTCGGAAAGCCTCGCTTGCGCTGGCCGATGCATGGGCCTCCGGGAACGAGCTCTCAATGGGTTTATGGGGGTTACGGTATGGGGCTTGGGGTTTAGGGGTTAGGGTTTAGGGTTTAGGGTTACCCTCTGGGGCTTTGCGGGGCGATTTAGGGTTTTGGGTTTCGGGCTTGGGGTTTTTCTTCTTCTGACATACTTAACCGTCACCACGAGCATCCTGCGCAAATAGAAAGACCAAGGAAGATACATTGATCGCAGCACATAGTGATTGGCAAAGACCAGGAGCAGTTATGACCAAAAGTAGCATAGTATGCATGAAGTTAACCACTACTGCTATTCCTTGACATAGCTCTCAAGATGTTATGATGGCAACAAACGGATAAGGCGCAAGTTTGCTTCAAGCATCGCCAAAAACAACTACAGCACCTGCAAGAGTACTCATCGTTGCCTCAGCATCGGCGGAGAAGAAGAAGAGGAAATCGGCATCCGCCTCTGCATCCATCTCGGCGCTTCCATGCGCAGATATGTACGAAGCCTCCACAATCGCAGCATAGCGAAACTCTCCACCAGCGCTGATGGTGTTGATGTGATGAGTACCGTAGTTTTGCCTTAGCTTTACCCTTAGCACTTCTGATGGGCACAGCATTTCGAGGCCGTGTTTCAAGCATTTCCTCGTGTTGCTCATCTGGGAATTGTGAAGAGCTGCATGTGCGGCACCACTTTCCCTGCCCATGCGGTGGGTGTGAACCACAACATTGGGATGCCCTTCACGGATTCCAGGAACATACCTGGACCGATGCATAAACACAGTACAGACTGATGCAACAGCCGAAAGCGAAAAGCAGAAAACGGCTGCATACAGACTAATGACACTGACAGGAGTAAACGAGTATGCTTGGCATGAACAAGACTGACACGAATTGTATATGTGTTGCCGCAGGTTCGATAAACAACGGACGACAGAGTCACAAACAATATATGAAATAATCATCTGAATACTAACGACAGATCGGAGGCTAAAGAAACACAGCCAACACAACAGCAGAGACAACAAGCCTAGCCCCGAAAGCAGATGTGGCAAGCACGACAACCACCAAAAAATCGGCCAGTATTGCATTCCTGGCGGTTGTACATTCAGTCGCCTAGCAAGATTACACAGTAAACATGCAACTCCCCAGAAATAAACACAAACCATACACAAGGGAAGATACGACAACATCATGCAACAGAATGCTCCAATACAGGGCAATACAACCACAAGCCTGGCCAAGCTTATCATTGTAAAAGAAGCACATACTTGAACAAAATGCGTGCACATGCATAGACGTTGCGTGTATGCAGAGACGCTTTCCCCAGGAAAGACGACAGACCAATAGCAGGGCAAGACCAGCTGTTGCATACCAGACTCTACCGCACTGCAACACTGCAGCGATCAAACCCTAAACCCTAAACCCTAAAACGTATCTTCGGCTTTAGGGATTCGCGACCCGAGATCCGACACCCTTAAACTACAACAAACAGTTATCAAAAAAAGTCCCTTGCTTGGTTTTAAGGATTAGGGTTTAGGGTTTAGGGTTGAGGGTATAGGCGGTATAGGGTTTAGGGTTTGGTGGCCAAGGCACTATCTGGCGACAAGTTCTGCACAGGATACAGCTCCGATGTGTATGTGTCCACCTCTCCTCCAAAGACTGTCATAAGCGGGCCTTTATGTTAGAAAAGAGGTTTTTGGTACGGATTATGCTTGAATGACACTCATTTCGTGTAATTATTAGTAATCATTTTGACCTTCATAGTAGTTTGAGGCTGCAACAAAGGCTGAGATAGCGGTTCTGCTAGGGCTCCTTCGCCAAATATAGGGGGCCTGAATTCTTAGGCTTCCAAGTGCACTTGCAGTATAAACAACCACGAAACCCCAGGTTAATGTACAAGCCTAAATAAGTTTTCGACTTGAGATGCATTGATACTCTTCGGGCTTTAGTACCGAGGTCTACATGATTAGCAATAAGATCCCCTCATCCTTAAAATATACACTGAAGCCTCTTCTGATGTTTCGGCCCCTATGTGTTTAGTAGAACCATAATAAAACAAAAACGCTACAGTCAATACTCCGTTAGAGTTTCGTGATAAGAAACATCACAGAAAATTGCGAAAGAACGTTAAAGGAGCACTATAAGGGCCTTATAGTAAACTCGATAGTAGCCAGTAACCATTAGTAACCCTTCTAGCCCCCTTTAAAAGGAACCCGACTAGGGCTTCAGGGATCCGGGGGCTCTCGGCTCTGTCATCTTTCACATGGGAGTTTCCGAAAATAGGGGTACCTTATTTTGGGGGTCCTTATAATAAGGATCCTACTTTTTAGGGTACTATATTAGGGTCCCCTATTTTTTGGAAACCCCCACATCCCTCTCTGTCCAGAACGCACCACCATGGTCGCCCCCACCTCGCAGGAGGGTTTAGGGTTTAGGGTTTAGGGTTTAGGGTTTAGGGTTTAGGGTTTAGGGTTTAGGGTTTAGGGTTTAGGGTTTAGGGTTTAGGGCTCAGAGTTCAGGGTTTCCCTCCTTGGAGGATCATGGGACTTAGTAAGTAAGGTTATAAGTCCCCTAATTGGGGTGATANNCCCATGATCCTTTAAGTAAACCCTCAGCCCTGGTCTGGGTTAGCACTGGGTTTAGGGTTAAGGCCTTCGATCTTAGGCTGCACGACTTTCCGGCCAGGATTTCGCCGTTAGGGTTGCAGACTTCGGAGTCTTACTTACAGGATCATAGATCCTTCTTTTTCAAAGAAAGTTTCAGATTCCATCGGGCTTCGTAGCGTGAATTAGGTTTTACAATGCATACTGGACTCTAAAAGCGCTTTAACAATTAGAATAAGCTTTTGAGGCCCAATATATACTAGAATACTACAGGTATAATAAGGCGCCCCCAACAATTCTTTAATTTGGGCCCGTCCCTGAACCCTAATCTTTAAGGCTTGCTGTAAACCAGCAACTTCCGCCTTGGTAACCAGCGAGAACATTTCGGACATTTCCTCGGAGGCGGAGATCAGTCCGAACAGCGCGTCACCGTCCACGCTTTCTGAGAACTGCTCCTTTTCGGTGGGTGGAAAGAACGACAGGACTTTGCTGTGGTGGCTTCAGGTGTTGAATGGTGTTTCAGGTGCTTTGTTGAGGTTTCGAGAGGGCGATGATGCGATGTTTTGGGATTCTGTAGGGCTTTGCTAAAGGGTTTAGGGTTTAGGGT